TTACCCTGTATCTGTTTGCAGAAAATCACCAAATTCTATTACTTTCTTGAAACATGTAGCTTCATTTGTGGCTTTTTTATTCACCCAAGGGAGGCATAATGCTAATTAATTTGACCCTTAGGCCAAACTTTGTGCATTCTGAGAGGACAATGGGGAAAACATATTGGAGCATATACATCTTTTTAAAACTGCTAAGAGATCATTTTAATGATGCAACAACCTGCTTAGTACCTGTGGACCTGAACTTAGTACCTTGTGGAACAGAATGGGTGCTTGGTAAGTGCTGGTTAGCTCAGGTAATTTGACTCCAGTGTTTATGATCATTTATTAATGCACTGAATTTTGGAAGTATGGTAAAGCTCTCCCCAAATTGTGAGATTTGGATCTTTGGAATTAAATCTAACACTTTAGACTTTTTTCCCTACTGAAAAATGTGTTACTTTTAGTGTCAGATCCATGAACCTCAGGCTGGGGAAGCATAGTTGGGTCATGGTTTAAGAAGGCTGGTAAGGTCTCATAGTCCCCAAAGACTTCACTTTCTCCAGTTACATTTCTTTTTCTTCACTTTTAATACCTTTGAAATCAGCACATACCTAATAATTGATAGTGTGACATCGTTTTTTATTGGCAGCTTTTTTATTGCTCAGTGGTGCATACAATGATGATGTATTCTCTGGAAAGGAAAGAGAAACAAAACTTATTGCCTGCTATCACGTGTCATGCACTATGATAAACAATTTATAGATATTATTTTCTTTGATCCTCAAGTAAACCCTATGAAGGAGACACTTTAAATTAAAAAATTTTGATTCAGGGTTCATGGGACTTGTCCAAGATAGTAAGCTGGCAAGTGTCAGCGTCAAGATTTGAACCCACATATCTGGCTGACTTCACTGTAACATGACCCCTCAGATTTTCTGTCTGACTTGCCCTCAGCTTGCTCTGTTCATAAAATAGTTTGCAAATCCCTAGATTCTGGAGTTGGGAAGACTCTTATGAGTCCTTGTGTCTAACGCCATCATGTTACAGATGAGGAACCTGAAGCTGAGAGAAGAGCTTTTTCCAAGGCGGCCACAAAGGAAGTTGTGCTGCTGAGAATCGCACGGCCAACCCAGGGGAGAGAGTGCTTCCAGGTTCTTTGCGTGTCTCCAACTCCTGGACACAGTGTGCACCTGCAGGCCCTTCCCATCTGGGCTGCCCTCCTAGGACCAAGCCTCAGTGGCTCATTCATCCCTTCAAGGCACTGACACTTGGCTCATTTCTCCTCTGTTGTCATGCTCCCCGGCCTCAAGATGATTCTCTCATATGCCCTTTCCCCCCTCTCCTTACCCCTAGTGAACCTGTATCAGGTGACTCATCCTTCCTTCAAGGTGACAATGAATCCACGTGAAGATGGTAATGGAACAAAATGAAAGAAGGTTCTCCAGGGTCTATGCTTGGAGACATTGCCCACACCTTTGCTATCTCAGAGAATGACTTCAGTGGTGAGAATTTCAATGTAGGTGGGAGGGAAGGTGGCAGAGGCACAGGCTCTGGTGTAGAGATATTCTGCAGGTGACTGGGCTTTGAGTGGCCTTTGAAATCATACCACAAGCTCTCACTCTGCCTGCAGAGAGGCAAGAGGCATGGCATAGTGCAAGGACTGCAGAAAGTGCCATCCGTACCACCATTCACTTTTCTACACCCATGAAGAAGTTGATGGGTCACTGCCCTCTACATTGAGAATGGGTTCAGATGCCTTCTTAAAACAGTGTACTGACCAGCCACTTCCAGTTGCCTGGAGTTGATTACAGGGATAAAACAAACCCATTTGCCACCCCCAGTTTTGTATAAGGATTTGGAGGCAGCTAGTTTAGAGAATAAGTGAGCCTCCATTTCTTCCACTGTAAAAAGGAGAACATAATAAATGATTTACAGAATGGTGGCAAGTATTAGAGACAACATATGCAAGAGTACACAAGATTCTCTGGTGCCTGGTACATAGCAGATGCTTCAACTAGTAGCCGTTGTGTTGATTCTAACTCAAGAACCCTGTGTGTCAGGGTGGAACTGTGATCCATAGGGTTTTCAATGGGTGATTTTTTGGAAGTAAATCGTCAGGCCTTTCTTCCCAAGCACCTCTGGATAGACCCAAACCTCCAATTTTTCCGTTAGCAGCCTAGTGCCTTAACCGTTTATACCACCCAGGGACTTCCAGTAGATGCTTAGTGACTATAAATCATCATTATTACGAGGTTAGTGTTGATGGATGGAAGACAGGGTGCCATTGCTTTGCATCATAAAGAAGTCGGAGATGGTGAAATAAAGGTGCTTTTGACCTCCCTTTTTCGTGTTTCTTAATCTGTGACATTGCAGACACAAGTACATACGTTTGAAGACTAAAAGGACTGAGCAGCCTTCTTCAGAACACAGCTCGGGATGGCAGCACTGACAATTGGCCAGCTCTTGGTCCAGCAAGTTAGAAAGATCAAGCCAGGTAAGCAGTCTGTCCCTATAGTACCCTGGTATGGTTATGCTACTCACAGGCTGAAAGTCTGGAGAAAGTCCTTTAATTATTCTCACCTAGTTCAACTATTTATAAAATATGTGTGATTATCTGACTCAAGAGAAATGGATGGTATATTGATGGACTCATTGAGGCTGTTATATGCTTTGAAAAATCAAGCCTTTAGTGAGTAGTACATTTATTTAAAGAGCTCCTTTCATTGCAAAAAATGGAAACGCTTTATCTTTTCTATTTAATTCACTATTTATTTAATGAAAGGACTACTGGTGGTGCAGTGGTTAAGCACTTGGCTGCCAACCGAAAGGTCGGCAGTTCGAACCCATCAGTTGCTCCACAGGAGAGTGATGCGGCAGTTGGCTTCTGTAAAGCTTACAGACTTGGAAACCCTATGCGGCGGTTCTATTTTGTCCTATAAGGTCGCTATGAGTCGGAACCGACTCAGTGGCAATGGGTTTTAGGGGCGAGGATCATGTCTGCTTCTGAGCACCCAGAAAAATGCCAAGAACACCTAGATTTTTAATCTCTTTGTATGCTGCTGTTGCAGATTGGAATATAAACTATGTCCCATATTAAATAAATATAAAGAATACTATTTAAGAACAGGAAATACAATGAAAACATGTATTTCCGATACAACAGCATTGAATGTGTTTACATGTAGGACAAATGTATACTTATGTGGTTTATTTTAACTTAAAAAATATTAATGTTAATTGACTTGCTATTATCAAAGTCTGCCCAGTGGCAGCAACGTGAAAAATGCTGAAAACTATGTAAGATAAATGAAAAGTCACTTGTAATTCCCATGCTGGAAGATAATGACTTTGAACATTTTGCTATTTTTTCCTATATGATTCATTCTAAGATGTTATTAATATTATCTAATACTCAACTAATTTTAAGATTTCCAAAATGTTTCATTTTCACTGTGATTTCCATCCCTTCAGTTCATGATTTGGTGTTCTTTCCGGTAAGAATTATTGTTTTGTAGTTTTCCAATGTATTGAAACATGGGAGTTAGGGGAAAGAGTTTGCCATTAGCTGCTAGTGACTTACTCCTCTTTCAAATGAACCTTGTTACCGTGAAGGAAACTTTAATCCATCTTGCCCCAGTGCATTTGTTCTCCCGAGAGCCAGGTGAACTACTTCTGATTATTTCCCTAGGATTATGTCACCCACCAAAGTAACTTTCTGTTTTACTAGGTAATGTTAGGAAACAAGACAACACCCTTTAAGTTAATCAGTTTTGGAAAATAGAGACTGGCTTTATATTCCAAGGCTTTGATGTGTTTAGTAGTTCCTGTAAGGATCTGCCTCTCTTTTGTTTTGATCGACAAGACCTTTCCTATATATTTGAGCAATCAAGCAGCCCAGTCACAGAGGTAGAGACATTTACCCAGAGCAAACTTCTACCACTCATTGTGACTTTCTGAAGCCTTGGGTGTAAGTTTCAGCTCTAAAAGAAGAGTTAACTCCAACATGATCAGGTAAGTGCTTCTCCGTATTTGAAACTTCATGCCACTTGATGGGAAGCCCAGAGAGCCCTGCTAAGGTGACAGGTCAGAAGTAGGAGCCACGGAAATGAGATTTGGAAATGAATAACCTCACGACCCATTTTACATGCTAATGAATTAGGGGCGTTCCAAAACACAATATCTGCTTTCAACATCCCTATGTGTTCTGTCTAGAGGCCAAGCCTGATGATTCTGGTCCTGAAAGCGCACAGAAAATGACCAAGACCCAGAGATGATAGACTTGATTGCAAATTGGGATTGTATTTTAAACACTTTCAATACTTTACATCATCTGTATTTAAATGGATTCACAGCTAGGTGCCTATTACAGCAAGAGCCAACTGCAGAGCCAAGTGGTAGGAGTAGGGCACATTTTTATGAGTGGGATTCTAAATCAGTTGACCAGGTTTCATATCTTTTCTGCATATCCACGTTTTGTGGTGGGTTGGGTTAGTAACAATATGTATAGGGCATAGAGTTATTAATAGTTGTTTATTCCCCACCCGTGATGCTTGAAAATATAATTTTGAGCAAAGCATATAACATGGCACCCAAATACTCTGGATCTGAATAAAACTAATTTACATGTATTTATATGTTATGTTAGGATATGCATTCCTTTTGGTATTATTCATCCTTTGCATTCATTTTGAAGAGACTGTTGGAACAAACTTCTCTAACACCCTAACAAGTCAAGTCCAGCAGTTGGGTCACAATAAGGAATAGCCTGAGAATGCCCTTGGACAATGGGTGTCTAGAGCGCACAGTGGGGTCTGTGGAATCCAGACGGGAGCCAGCTACAAGGAAACCACGGGCACCTGTGTTGGAATTTGTGGGCATTTGTAATTTTGTGGCTCATTTTTTCTGAGATGCTAAGAGCAAGGTCCCTTTGAATACAACCGACACATTACTGGGTGTCCCATTGGGGCAGCTGGGTCTGTAAATTAACGCTCCTTCCTCTCCCTCTCCTGAGGAACAGCATGAGGCCTGCACACCTTTTCCTTGGCCCCATAGCCCTCCTCCTTCTGGCTGGCTGCAGCTGTATCCTCAGCACCTCCAGTGGGAACCTGGATACCTTTGTGGGCTGTGCTGTGAGGGAGTTTACTTTCGTGGCCAAGAAGCCGGGCTGCAGAGGCCTTCGAATCACCACGGATGCCTGCTGGGGCCGCTGTAAGACTTGGGAGGTGAGTGGCTAAAACAGGCCCAGGGTGGGTACTTCGGCGGCAGCTACTTGGGCCTGATTCTAAAGTGTTTGCTTTTTCTATGAAATGAAGTAGAACTGGGAATCTGCCTTTTCCTGTGGATTTAAAAAAACAAGGGAAAAAAACCCAAAAACAATTATTTGGCATCCTTCAAAAGTTATCTGAAAGAAATATGATTATGCACCTCCAACAAAGCATTGATAAGATTAATAATTTGATTTTACATGAAGTCTGTGTATTTGGGAATCATCTCTGGGAGGGCAAGATGTGCTATTATTCTACCCATTTTACAGGTGACATGGAGAAATTCAAGGTGTGAGTGACTACAAAGTCACATAGAGAGTGAGTGGACAGTTGGGAATAAATTCTTAGTTTTAACCTGTGACCAGAGCTCCTCCCTCGCAGCTATCACACATTGCATCTAAGCTGGCATCTTGGAGCTCTATGTGTGATAACGCCAGCCAAGCACCAAGAGAGAGGCTCTATGCTGAATGGTGAGGTGGGTGGAGATTGGTTCTCAGCCTCTCCTTCAGTGCCTTTCCCACAGCCCCGTTGCTGTTAGGTGCCATCAAGTCAGTTCCAACTCATAGCGACCCTATAGGAGAGAGTAGAATTGCACCATAGGGCTTCCAAGGAGCAGCTGGTGGATTTGAACTGCCAACCTTTTGATTAGCAGCTGAGCTCTTAACCACTATGCCACCAGGGCTCCCTCAATTCCCTAGGGCCCTCGGGGATTATCACTGATGGATCTGTTAAGTTCCTTTATATTCAAGTATCTACCTGTTGCTGTCAAGTTGATTCCAGCTCATAGTGACCCTATAGGACAGAGTAGAACTGCCCCATAGGGTTTCCAAGGAGTGGCTGGTGGATTCAAACTGCCGACTGGTTAGCAGCCGAGCTCTTAACCACTATGCCACCAGGGCTCCATATTCAAGTATATACAGACTTTTTAGAAGTATTTACATTTAAAATGGGGATAAAAATCTCAAGCAAAGTTAGAACTCTAGTGGTCTGAGATGAGGCGTTTGAGGGAAGAGGAGGAGGGCAGTTCAGCATTTCATCAAGTCACACCACATAGCAACTGTCCACTCTTCTTGCTGAGTCCCAGCTCTGATCTTGTCACTCTCCAGCTCAAACACCTTTAATAACCACCCACTACTGCCAAATCAAGAACTAGCTTTCAAGGTCCTTGGCAATATGGTGTCTGCTTGCTTTCCCAGCACACATATTCTTAGGTCTGGCCCTATTAGAATGATTATTAAAAGGTTTTATGAAACATTCATCATGGAATCTCGTTTTCATCATTTCCTAATATTCCTTCTCGTTTCCATCAGTCATGATTATATTTATTCCCAGATGACCGTATCCTGTGCCAACTCCTTCTCTAAGCCTTTTCTGACTCCTGGTAAGGCACTGACTATATTCTACCTTTTGTCTTTCTTCCTCCCCCGGCACTAGATTTTAAGTTCTTCTAGTGCAGAGACTGTGGGTCATCCTTGTGTTTTTCATAACTCTTGTCAAAGTGTCATGTATGAGCAAGGCATTCAATAATTATTCATTGCATTAAATGGAACTGACCTCTACCTGGAGTTTTATAACTTCTAGCCTAATTGATGCTGCCCTAGAAGCACATGAGCACTATGCAAGGATGCTACCATTAAGAAAAATATTCTTCTATTCAGGGACTCAGAGTCCCTGGGTGGTGTAAACATGCTCAATTGCTAACAGAAAGGTTGGAGTTTTGAGTCCACGCAAAGGCACCTCATAAGAAAGTCCTGGTGATCTACTTTCAAAAAATCAGCCATGGAAAACACTATGTGTCATAGTTCTGCTCTGACATACATGGAGTCGCCATGAGTTGGAATTGACTTCACTGCAACTGGTTTTTGGTATTCAGGGCTTCAGAGAGCAACCTGCTATTACTTGGATAAAATTATGGCCTCATGAATGGAATTGGGTTATGGTGATGAAACTTCCAAACTAAATTAAACTACTCCACCAAATTAGTTCTATTTTTTGCATCATTCAGGGCTTAACACCTGATCGCCAAATGAAAATTCAGTTGTTAAGGATACTGTGGCTGTCACTTGCTATCAGTCTTATGCAGGGAACTTTGGCGTCTTCTCATATCCAGGGCCTGGCCAGGCAGTGCCTTTCCTCGCTTACATCTTGGAGCTCTTTGTGGGCCAAAACCTCAAACCTCTGTTTATCTTCAAGTCAGCCCATCATCTCTTCTTTTTATAAATTGATGAACATCTTTAATTAGATCATGGTCACCAAAGGAGGGCTGTGCTCTTACTGGAGAAGTGGAAACACCAAACATTAAAAAACCAGATTATCCTTATTTTTCAAAACCCATTGCCTGACACTACAGGACAGAGTAGAACTGCTCCATAGGGTTTCCAAGGAGCAGCTGGTGGATTTAAACTGTTGACCTTTTGGTTAGCAGCCGAGCTCTTAACCACTGCGCCACCAGGGATCCTCCTTATTTTTTAATTTTTATTATTGTACTTTAGGTGAAGGTTTACGGAACAAACTAGCTTCTTATTAAACAGTTAGTACACGTATTGTCTTGTGACATTGGTTACTAACCCCACGACATGTCAACACTCTCCATTCTCGACCTTGGGTTCCCTATTACCAGCTTTCTTGCCCCCTCCTGCCTTCTCGTCCTTGTCCCTAGGCTGGTGTGTCCCTTTAGTCTCGTCTTGTTTTATGGGCCTGTCTAATCTTTGGCTGAAGGGTGAACCTCAGGAGTGACTTCAGTACTGAGCTAAAAGGGTGTCTGGGGCCATACTCTCGGGGTTTCTCCAGTCTCTGTCAGGCCAGTAAGTCTGGTCTTTTTTTGTGAGTTAGAATTTTGTTCTACATTTTTTTCTAGCTCTGTCTGGGACCCTCTATTGCTCCTCCTTGTTTTCAGCCAGTTTTTATTTATGTCTTTACTGTGTTATGAAAAGAGAGGTTACTTACAGAAAAAAAAAAGGGAGTTTATTTTCCAAGCAATCTGAAAGTTTCTAAGATATAAAGTACTTGCACTTTTTTTTTTTTTTTTTTATGGGTAACTCAACTGGGAAGCTTGTCTGAAAATAAAGATGTTCATGCAAACAAAGTGGCCAGGTTTACTTTTGAAGGTTAAACTGTTGCTGAAAATAGCTTTTGCTCATGACAAGGGTTTCGGGCTGCCAGATTTAGCAAGCAAAACAAAACAAAACACAAACAGGAAGCGCAGTTAAATTTGAATTTCACATAAACAACAAACAATTTTTTAGTAAAAGTCTGTTGCATGCAACATTTGAGACAGACTTATGCTAAAAAATTATTTGTTGTTTATCTGAAATTTCAATTTAACGGGGTGTCCTATATTTTATCTGACAACCCAGTCTAAGTTCTGGGAGTACTGCGGGTAAGAGGACATGAGGCAAGCGGAGGAAGGTTAAAATGCTGACTTAAACGTTAGCAGAAAACAGTTGGGGACAAATTCAGTATTTCTGCACGGTCCTCGTCAAAGGCTAGACTGCTATTTTCATGACATTTATGCAAGTACTTCATCCTGGGCCTCCGTTAAATACGTATTTTTTCCTCAGAACAAGTGAAGGTGCTGCCCTTTTGGAAGTTTGTAAGTTGTTATTTTTATTATTATTTCCTTTATTGTTATAATAATTGCTCAAATAACAATAATAGATGATATTTATTGAACACTTGCTTAGTGCTAGGCGTTATGCTACGTGCTTTAGAAATACTGTCTTACCTTATTCCCCACAACAATGCTGTGAGGTGGCTATTTTGTTTCACAGATGAGGAAACTGAGGTTTCAAGCAGTTAATTGGATTTTTCAAGGCTTCCAGCAAGTGACAAACCGATCATAGATCATGCTCCATCTATCTGACTGCAGGGCCTGAGATTTTAGTGCCTACCTTATGCTGATTTTCTGATCTATATGTTCTGTTTATCAAAATTATCTTTGAATTTAGGATTCATAAAGGTGAAGGAAGGAGATGAATCCTTGGATTAGCAGAACAGCTCACAGGGCATTCAGGAAGCTGCCTTGCTCTATTTTATTTTGTTTATTGAACAAATAGTTATTGAGAATCTCCTGTGTGCCAGCTATTGTTTTAGGTACTGGAGACATAGCAGTGAGCAAGATAGACAAAAATCCCTGTCCTAATGGAACTTATTTTCTACAAAGGGGAGAAATATAACTCAAATAAGTATATAGTATGTCAGGTGGTTTTGATAAGTGCCTCAGAGAAAAATAAAGCAGGAAGGAAGTTAGGAAGTTCCAGAGCGTGGAGGTGGGATGTTGCGATTTTAAATGCGATAGTCAGGAAAGGCATCCCCGAGAGGGTGACCTTTGAACAAAAACCTGAAGTTGGTGGAGGAGTGAATATATAGGAGAACATTCCAGGTGGAGAAAATAACAAGTGCGAAGACCCCGAAATGGCTCTGGGAGTTCAGGATATGATGGGGAACAAAATAGGTTCCTGCTTTCAGGAGTTTGCTTTCTACTGGGAGGAAACAGGTCAACAAATGAATAACGATTTCTGATAGTGATAAGTGGTATCAAGAAAATGAAAAAGCGTGGTTTGTTCTAATGGGTTTCCTGTTTTCTACCTATGGGGACAGAAGCCCATTCTGGAACCCCCCTACATTGAAGCCTATCATCGAGTCTGTACCTACAACGAGACCAAACAGGTGACCGTCAAGCTGCCCAACTGTGCTCCTGGAGTCGATCCCTTCTACACCTACCCCGTGGCTGTCCGCTGTGACTGCGGGGCCTGCTCCACTGCCACCACTGAGTGTGAGACCATCTGAAGCTAGCGTGGTCTGCGGAACACAGCTGGCGGCCTGGAGCCTCACAGACCCACCTGCACAGGCAACACAAGCAGCTATATCCCCTGGATTCAAGGACTGTTTAATTTTGACCTCACCTGTGGAGGAGGTTACCTGCTTCCTTTGGGAACAGCCTACTTATGCTAAAGATGTAAAACAATATTTGCGCCTTCACCAAAACAATTGATCTGATTCATGCATCTTGGAACATAATTTGTATATCACAGTCCTCCCCTTAATATGCCAATAATTCAAATGCATTGGGTGTAATTGGGAAATGAAGTTAGAAATTCTTTACATTCTCACATCCTGTTTAACTAAGAGCCTCCAACTGAACTCTATGATCCAAGGGCCAGAAGGTAACAAAACCAGTGCTCTAGTCCTCCTGCCCCCACGAAAATCCAACTGCAAGCTTCCTTAGAGAAAATACCCCTTCCCATTTTAATTGAGCAGTGATCTGTACGAAACATAGAGACTACTCAGATTAACAAAGGGAGGGTAACAATAGCTCAAATGGAGAGGCGTCTGCATTTATGTGATTATTTTCCCAGGCAAAATTTTCTAAGTTGCCTTTAAGATCATTAATAAAGAGACCCGTTCGTGAAAAGAACAAACGAACTCACAAAAACTCAGAAAAAAATGTACTGGAGCTATCATGTAAGCTCATGTTTTTAAAGTGTGATATTCTCCCAAAGCTGTCTCCAAAATGTTCATTCACAAGTATTTGTCCCCACTTGGGATATTTTAAACTTAAATAGAAATCTATTAAACTCAAAAATTTTACATGTTTGTAGGGGTAAAACTGCACTGCTGTCTTGGAGGAAAAAGTCTGTGATTATCTTGCTCTTCCCCTCTCAAATCTTACAGTGGCTAATTCTCTGTGGCTGTTTTTTTTTAATCTCTGATGTCATGCAAATGTCTTTGACTAATTCTGGTATTTTGGGGAGAATTTAATCTTGTTCTTTTTTCATAATATGCCAGGAAAATCTATATTAATGGCAATAAAGCATGTCTTCTGCCTTTTGAATTCATAAAACTTTGAAGTCTTTTTAGTCATTAATACACTTGAAATAACAGTAAGAAATATACTTACAATGAACTACAAGCCTATCTGTACTTGAGCATCAGTTTAGGATGTCATATTTAATAAGAGGCACAGACAGATGCCTCTGGGTAGCATGAGCCCCACAGGTGGCTTGATTTGCATACATAACCCTAGCATAGCTGACAGTCAGGAGTTCTGTTTGAATGAGAAATGAGGCGCTTCCATGCAAAACAGCAAAGTAACTGTTGATATTGATGGTCAAGCCCTGGGATTCTAGTGTGAATCTCTGGGACCAAAGGGCATTAGCAAACACCACCCCTAACCTTCAGTGCAAATCTATTGGTGGGCAAGGAAGCCACTCTTACGTAAAAAGGAATTGAGTGCCGGGGGTCCTTGCTGGGACAGTAGGTGATGCTTAGGGATGATACTGAGTAGCACCACTCAAGTGCTTTCCAACCCACCCCTAAGAACTTTCCACCGGGTTTTCTGAGGGAAAGAGTTGCTTCTTAAGAGAACTTAGGGAGAAAAAGCAGAAGCAATAAGGGCTTGACAGAATCTGAGAAAAGATGACCAGAGCATCAGTAAGGGTCCTACCAGGAAATGAACGTTCCACTTCAATGGGATATTGAGAAGAGTTTAATGAAGAGACTGACCTTAGTGGCCAGAGTTAAGGAAACCAACAAGGGTGGTGAAACATCTCCAGTTTAGAAGCAATGGGCAGTCCTACAACTCTAGGCTGAAAGAGCAAGAGGATGGAGTGGTTATCAGACCCTAAAGAGAACTGTAGGAGAAGGATGCGTGGCAGGAGCTGTGGTCTTTGGTAGGAGGTTGCAGCCATTACCAACTTGAGACCTGGTAGGGAGGGAGGCAGGGGAGTAAATACGCAATTCTACTCCCATCACCTCATCCGCTCATGCCTCCCATTGGCTGAATAAAATAGGAAGGCAGAGAGTGAGGGTCCCCATTGATTCCATCATAAAGGTGAGCCTCCTGGGCGATAGGCTAACAAAGAGTAGAGAGTGGATCTAAGGGTGTAAACGGATAAAATCCAGCACAGCTATCTTTTGGGAACTTAGCCAGAATGCAGTAGGCGGCAATGTTGGCTCTGACAGTAATGAGGCATGCTGGCAGATCACAATTACGAAGACTCACCTTTGGTAAACTGAGATTGAATACACATGGAAAGGTATGCACTGGCTAATGCAATATCTATAACATCTGAGAGACAAGGGACGATGGTAATGATAAGGACTGTGGGTTGGAGTTATTTGGCTGTTAAGCGCAATCAAAGCACTCAGAGCATGGTACGAAAGCCAGAACACAGCATCTGAAGACTTCTTCTGCAGCTAGAGGGCAGACTGTGCTGAAAATTAGGCCCAAGACCTTATTGGGAGAGCAGCTGAATTATTAAAAAGCTGAATTCATAATCCTGGTAAGTCTCTTATAGTTAAGTCAAGGTCCTAATGGGAAATGAGTGGGGCACAGAAACCTGACATGGAGACAATTAGGTGGATGCGTTTGAAGTTCCTGTGCAGAAGGGATTCACTCCTCCTTGCCAGAGGGGAGTAGGTTCTCCTTGCTTAGTGACCATGCAGAGGCCCCATCTGAGGAGGGTACTTTACATGATGGTACTTGTGCTCAACCCCTTATTGGTTCTAGATGGGTAATTAGGGACTCTCCCTGCTGTGGGAGGAATGATTCTTCGTTGAAGGAGCCTCAGGACTTGACTAATGCAAACCAGTAGATAACCATAGAATATGCTTGGGAATGGATCTTGAGGGTGTTGGACTGGGATGAGATGGGGAAGGTGGCAGAATATAAGAAAACATAAGCAGAGTTTATTGATATGGAGGTATTTCCCATGGCTTGGGATTTAAAATCCTCATAAGGACACCTGGATCTGGTCCTAATGTGCTGTTGGGTTGGCTTCTTAAAGCCTGGGGAACATGATGGCCTACGTTAAAGAGGAGGAGATACCCGAATGGCTCTGGCAGAGTATTGAGGAGCAAAGGCTCAGAGAGGTGAGCCTGCTAGAATGGGTTTATTACACAAAGACCAGAGAACTCACCAGTCGTCATTCTGTGGAAGGGCACAGCTGACACTCCCTTCACTGAAGCAAGAAGGAATCGCTAGTGAGGGGCACCTGCATCATAGAAAAACTTGATAGTGGCTGTCCTTTGTAAACTGGGGCTGATGGCAGGGGAAGCTGCTGTGGACTGGGGCTCCCTCTGTTAGTGAGGTGATGGGGTTCTGGAATAGCAGAGACTAGGTGGCAACACATAGCCCTAAGAGGCAAGATGGAAATCATTCTGTAAGTAAAGCCGCAATGGCAACTAGGGATCTGTGGTGCTAGCTAATAATCCGTGGTGTTCTTAGTCTGTGGTCTTCCAAAATTTTCCACACTAGATATATGTTTATAATCAGAAAAAACTATTAACAGAAAAGAGAAAACTATCTCTGTCAGGATTTATACCAGTGCTAACCTTGCATTTTTCAAATCCTCTTTTTCCCTCTCTGCCTTCCACAAATTTTTTTTATTTTGTGCAAGACACCGTGTTTGGGAATAAAGACATCAATATTGTTACCTTTGGGGGAGTTCTTACTATAAGTCTCACCATTTGCATGAATTATTCTTAATTCTTGTGGTGACCATGCTAGTAGGCATTGTTATTCCATTTTATAGATGATAAAAGAGGTGCTCAGTGAGGTCAAGTAACTTACCCAAGGTCACACAGCTAGTAAGCAGAAAGTGCCAGGTTTCTGACCCAGAGCCAAACCAAAGCACTTTCTACGAGAGCACAATGCCTTTTTATGAATGCACCTTCCAAGTCATTCCTGCCTGGAAAAGTCTTTGGGTTTATTGACTTCAGATCATCTCTCACCACTAACTGGCATTTTTGTGGTCTCTCCTACATGGGGCTCAGCGTGAGCTTGGGTTGTTTTGTGGAGATTGGAGACTTTTTTTCTGGTTTTCTGCAGAAATTCCAGGAAGATTATATTTTACTGTAGCTCAAATCAAAGGTTACAACAATGGAGACAATGGGGGAATAAACAAATAGAGCCTCAAATGGAAATTCAGAGACTGCTGTGGGGATGAGGCTTGTAAGATCGTAACTCTTTTCCTACGCAATGTGAAAACTGGGTGCAGGGGAAAAGGTGTTCCAGTACTTCTTAGGAGAGCTCTAGGTGAAACTGGAGTCCCTGGGTGGTGCAAACAGTTCATGTACTTGGCTGCTTACCTAAAGGTTGGAAGTTCAAGTCCGACCGAGGCACCTTGGAAAAAGTCTTGGTGATCTACTTCTGAAAAACCAGCCTTTGAAAAACCTAGGGAGCACAGTTCTATTCTGACACGCATCGGGTTGCCGTGAGTCAGAATCAATTTGAGGGCAACTGGTTTTTGTTGGTTAGATAACGCTAACTCTCAGAAACTCCTTACACATGGAAATATAGTTATTTTGCAATTCACAAAAGATAAGGGATGGGGGAAGGTCTCTGGAGGTTTTTGTTTTTTTTCTTCCCCCATGGGAGCATTTTTGAATGAAGATAAATTCTCACATCTCATTTCACTTCTGGCTTTAGGAGTAGTGTAAATCAATATTAGATCCATAGATTGAAATAGTAATATATTCTTCCCTTCTTCTTCTGGTTAGGAAATGAATGAGCCAGCAAGAAAGTACCAACCAAGTTTTGCTGCAGTGGCGCAATTAACTCTTTGAATCAATCAGGTTCTTAATGTAATAAAAAGCATTTCAGAGATAATAAGTGAACTGTGTATATAATTGAAAATAGTGTAACATTAATAAAACAAATTGTATTTTATAAAGTTTTCCAAGAGGACTGCTTGTCTTCATTCAGGAGACATTTTCTTCAAAATAATGTGCGTTTTATCTTTTTTCGGTTTCCTTTTCCAAAACATTCTGGTAAACGATTCATTAAGAAGCCATTTCAAACCATTCTTTTGCAAATTCTGCAAATTTTATTTTCTGTTGCAGATTTCTACTAGTGAAACAGTTGATTGGATTAGAAAAATTTTAGTCCTTATTGCGAGGTGAGTCTTCTGGCATTTCTTTTATAATGATTTCCTTTGGTTTAATGAATGGGATTGCTCAAAATCTTGTACAGGGAGGTATAGAAAGCTTTGTGTCTTGTTGCTATGATCCTGGAGTATCTGAAGGTGGTGCTGAAGACCTCTAATAACAGGCAAAGGATGAGAAGAGAGAGGCAGGTGCAGAGCTCTGTAATTGGCAGTGCCAGGCAGAGGCTTGCCTCCAAGACTAAGGAATTTAGCGGGATTGTGCTATTCCCTTTTCCAGGTGGTCATTACCGGAAGTTAAGTAAACGTTTCCTGAGCTCTTTGATTTTGTATTTGACCTTAAGTTTCTCCAGCTATGCAATTTCTTTGGCATACTGAGTAACTGAGTTTAAAAGAAAAAGAAAAGGCCTCCTGATACACAGGATCAATTACATGCTTTGACCTTGATCATGAGTCATCGGGCCTTCTGGAAAGTCATGAAAAGACAATAAATAAATAAATAAATAAATAAAACAAAAAGACCCCCTACCAACAAAGAGGACTTCTCAAAATAGAAAGAAAGAAGTCATTTTGCTTTTATAAAGAATATCAATACAGGCAGTCCCTGGATTATGTACAAGTTCTGTTTCTGTCTGTCTTTAAGTGTAATTTGTTTATAAGTCAGAACAGTTAGAAACAGATCGTATCTAAAGTTAGTCAAATGTTTGTCTTAGTATATAGTGTACCTTTCTATGAGTAAAAAACATTAAAGAAACTCTTCCAGATACACTAAAACATCTTTAACATAATAACGTGTTGTTGTTAGGTGCCATTGAGTTGGTTCCAACTCATAGCGACCCTGTGTACAACAGAATAAAACACTGTCCTGTGACATCCTCACAATTGTTGTTATGCTTGAGCCCATTGTTGCAGCCACTGTGTCAATCCATCTCATCAAGGGTCTTCCTCTTTTTTGCTGAACCTCTGC